TGTGATTGAAGAAAAAATCCTCATAAAGAGGATCCGATGAGGATCCTCTCTCCTCAGTTAACCATGAGTGAGTGTACGTGTTGTATATATAGCTTTACATCAATCAATCAGTTACAAAATAGACTTATCTCAAATGACAAATTTACAAAATAAAATACATGTGATAATAGTGGAAAATAAGATTAATCCAAAGAGTTTATCTGTTGAAGAGTTGCAGAAGAATGCAAACTGTTCCTCAGCGTATTCCAACTGTTTGGCAGCAGAGTTGGGCGGGAATGATTCCCTCCTCTTTTACATGAAATAGCCAAATACAAGGTGCCAGGAACTAAGTGGGAATATGAAGTCAATAACCGGTTGTGTTATAGTATCGGTTAATTTTAACACGTAAAATTCAGGTCGGGTTATATTTTTCATTCATTTTAACGAGTTTGATACAACAGAATCCGTTAAGATATATGATATATCATTAAAACGATACAATACAGTAAATACAACACGGTTACCATGCCTAAGGTAAAGTCTGAATGCTCTTTACTTTTTATTAAATACTTAAATATTAATTGTGACGGTGACCTAACACTTAAGCAAGGCCTAGCCTACTCTAAACAGGAACTGTTAGAACACGAGTGCAACAAAATTTGAGACAAATTGTTTGATTGCCCAATTGAGGGAAAAGCCAAGCAATTTTCTCCACGATGGGACAAAAGCATCAAATTAACATCAGACAAAATATTGGCTGATACTGTTAGACGCTCGTTTGGTTTCACACTTATCACATCACATTTCTAGCTCACCTAGGCTTCTCATTTCTTCATAAAAACCCATCAGTAGCCATGCTTTATCTGATCATCAAAACACCATTAAAAAAAAAAAAGTCTAGCCTACTTAGGTTCCTTGTGTCATCATTATCTAAGACCTTGATTTTCCTTTATCCTATTATTCCACGTGACTCTGCATGCAAATCCATTCAAATATAGAACTATGCAACTGACTAGATATCAAGCTGCACAGCAAGCCTTCCATGACTCATTCCACTGCCGTATTAATTGTGAGGGGTTAGCAAGCAGCCAGTTGTGCAATCTCCTTTAATTTCTCCACAACCTGATAAATTATCTGCAACAAAATCTCACGCGTATCTCTGCAAGCTTTAAGGATATCTTCAAGATAATTACTACAATTAAAATCAATAGTAATGCCAACAAAATTATCTTAACGGCTTTGATACCACGGACCAATGGTGTAATTTTAGGTCCAAACATATGGTTACTGGTTGTCCTAAAGGTTCTATTATTTAAGCTTTCTTTTTCTTTAAAAAACAAAAAACCTTCTTGGTATGAAGGAATTTTCCATGGCTGCGTTGGATAATTATTCAACAGAGTTAGGTCCTTAATGAGAAGACTGAAGAGGGAGGGAAAAGAACAAGAAGGCAACCCTGGCACCGAAATCTAAGTGGACAGTCGTGGGCAGTTGTGAAAGGGTGATAAAAAATAAACCAAGTAAATTTGGAATCATTAAAACTACGTGGCAGATTGAGGGCATCAGATGAATTTCAATGGCTAGGATTAAAAGCCTTGTATAATGTTGTAGGGGGAAAAAAACACTGCGATTAAAAGCCCTGTTGCGATTAAAACCCATGGGCTATAGGCAACTCAATCCTCTTTAGTGAAGAGTAATTGTCCAAGTGCATCTTAAAAAATATTTTTTTATTTATAATTTTGGATAATAATAAAAAAATTAGTTGAAAGTAATTGAAAACATTGAAATGTGTTGTAAGGTGCAAGAACTATTGTTTGTATAATTTTTTTTGTATTTTTAATTAATTTTTGTTTTAGTTTTTTAATAGTGGTTGACATCACTGTGACTTCAGCATTGCACCGTTTGGCTTGAGGGCTGGGCTAGTTGATAATCGACTGGGTGAGCAACTGGGCTCACCAACGTTGGAGTTGCTATTTAAGGTGGGGAGTCGGGAGTGGTCTAAGCTTCACAATGGATTAGCAATAATGTGTTCAAATTCGTCTATGGTGAGAATCTATCATAAAACCTCTTACTTACAAGTGAAAATAAATAGCATTAGACTGTAGTACTAAGTGGCAAGCTTTGTGTAGTTTTGAGGGAAAAAAACATGCGAAGAATCCAAATTCATAAATAATTAGGTTTGTGGGTCCCACACACGTGTCATACATATGTCACACGCCAACATTAGTTTGGTGCATTTTTGCTCATCACTTTTAAGTGGTTGTAATGCTCACTACTCACTTATTATCATTGGATGAGTTAAAATTTTGAAATTTGTATATATCTCTTACACATACTCAAGATTTAAATTCATCTAATAATAATAAAAAAAATACACGTAACCATCATTTAAGGGCGGCCTAAAAATATTCCCATGAGCTAGCTAGTAGCTACTCCAACCTTTTTCTTGGTCCAAAAGGAGAATGTATTAAAAAGGAAAGAACCCTGTCGAGAACGACAAAGGAGGCAAAACCCAGGAAAAGGCTATAAACCAAGCAAGAAAAAAGACCAAACAGTTGTTAAAAAGGGTTAGTGGTCAAATCCTAGACATTCCACTAACCCAGAAAAACACAATAAGACTGCTAGCTACTCCAACGTGATCGACTTCTTTACTTGATTTTCCACGTTGGTGGGTTACCTGTGCCCCTCAAATAATTAACAAATAATCCAACGTTTTTGACGTTGACGGGTTACCTTGAATCTTTCAATAATTAATAAATAAACCCACGTGCTTTCATAATGCATCTACACTATTTGGTTCCGAAAAGTGATAAAACTGAAAGTTGAGAGTTGAATAATGTTTTTACGTAAAAAGCATTACTTTAAATATAGAATAACGAGATTCAATAATTATGTGTTACCTATTGTAAGGATTTGAATTTTCTTTCTGAGCTGTTCAAAGCATTTTCAAGTTAATTTAAAATTCAAGATTATGCCAAAACTGACCATAAAAAAGAAACCACTAATAAGAAGAGAAAAACAAACAGAAAAGGAATTAAAAATTGGGCCACTAATTGGGTTTGAGGCCCACATGGAAGAAGATAAGAATAACGAGATTCAATAATTATGTGTTACCTATTGTAAGGATTTGAATTTTCTCCCCTTCAGTCTTCTCCCCTCCTTTTGTTCTGAGCCATTCAAAGCATCTTCAATTTAATTTAAAATTCAAGATTATGCCAAAACTGACCATAAAAAAGAAACCACTAATAAGAAGAGAAAAACAAACAGATAAGGAATTAAAAATTGGGCCACTAATTGGGTTTGAGGCCCACATGGAATAAGATACGAAAAGTTTCTTGTTTCGGCTTGCAAGTTGGTTTCCCAGAGCGATTCCGACCAGTCCACTCCATTGATTGTTGTCCAATTTTCTACATGTTTGTTTGTTGATATAGTAGATAAGAAAAGTTTCTTGTTTCGGCTTGCAAGTTGGTTTCCCAGAGCGATTCCGACCAGTCCACTCCATTGATTGTTGCCCAATTTTCTACATGTTTGTTTGTTGATATAGTTCGAATCAGTCTTACTCTTCTATGATCTTTATTTTAAGGACAACCAATGCATATTATCTACAATATTATATTAGTTTAAATCTAAAGATTTAAAATATTTAACAACTTAATAAACCAAATCCAACTTAAAATCTATGAACCATTAGAAAACTCATTTTCTTGTTTGGGTTTATTAAATTGTCAAATATTTTAAGCATTTGAATCTAAACTAATATAATCTTTTAATTAACATACATTTGGTTCTTATGGGTCCTCAAAATGAGTACCTTAGGAAAGCATGACTCTAGTTGGAATATAGAAATCTCGTCCGTTTAGTGACAGGGCACATACTTCATCATCTGCCTGCCTGAAACTACCTACCATTTGCCATCCCAAGCTACATTCATCTGCCATATATCTGGAATTTGCTTGAGATGGGTTGGGCCTCTCCATTTAGAGTTCAGGATTGAAATAATGAGAGGCTCAACCCATTATTTCAATCCCAAATATCTCTCTTGAGATGGGTTGGGCCTCTCATTATTCCACTGGTTATGAATTTGGATTTTTTATTGTAAAATAAATCTCTTGAGATGGGTTGGGCCTCTCATTATTCCACTGGTTACGAATTTGGGTTTTTTATTGTAAAATAAATTTGTATAATTTCTCTAAGAGATACTCCAACCTTTGGGGTAATACTTAAATTTTAGGTTTTAAATTTATTCTAATTTGCTCCAACCCTTGGGGCAAATATGAGTTAAACTCAAAACTCATTTATAGGTCAAATTTAGCCCAGGATTTATCCTGGGTTAGTGGGGCTGATCCAATATATATATATATATATATATATATATATTTATAAATTCATTGAATCTAACGGTTCAGATCTAATTCGATCAAATTCAACGGTAAAATATATATATAACGGTCCAAATTTAAATCCAATGGCTAAAGAAATTAAAAAAAATTATTTATGTGTTTCGTATACTTTCGTAATGTTCCACGAGTTTCATGGTGTCGGTTTAGTGATTTTTCAATATTTATTGGAATATAAATATTTTTAGGTTAAAATATTCATAAAATTAAATTTGGATAGTCCACATAATTTTTTTTTTAAACGTTACTTTAGAAAAAAAAAATTATCCTCATCTTGGGTTAAAAATTTAATCCAAAAGGGTTGGAGAAGAAAAATTGTTTATGGGTTAAAAATTTTAGGTTTTAACCCAAAGATTGGAGATGATCTAATAAAAGTGAGTCTCAAATGTGTTGGTGGATCCTATCCACTAAACTATTTTTTTAATACATCGATATTTTTACACTAAGAGGATGAGGAGTTCGGTTAAGCCACACAATGGACAACCTAATTTGGTATCGAATTCGTCATTCAAGAGCTTCGAATCTAAAACCTCTCACTTTCAAGTAAAGTGTATATTATAAAATGACTTACGTCATATAAAAAGACAAACTTGAATTTTATTAAATAGAATGGCAATGCAGCTAGCAGCTTCAGCTTCTGCCACTCAACCCAAATGCTTTCCCTCTGCCTGCTAGTCTCTCTCCACCGAGTAAACTGAAAACCTCGTCGTAGCTATTTATTAGGTAATCTTTATTACTCATCATCAAGGTCATTGAGTCCATATACATTTAAGTTATTATGGATCCAGATATGGAGAACCAGGCAGTAACAGACAGGTTCGTACTCTCTCTCTCTCTCTCTCTCTCTCTCTCTCTCTCTCTCAGTATTTCGAATTATCTTAGCTTGCTGTTATTTGTCACTCTCAAGGTATAGCAGTGCACCATGGCGCAGCAATGGGAATGATAAAGCGTTGGAAATCCACGGAGAGTCACAAAATGTGTACGAAATTTATGCTATTTGGAACGCTACACTTGATTATATATGGCTATTACAACACCTTCTATTCCTTTATTTTTTAATTTTAAAACGCCCAATACAACATAGTGGAGCCGGTAGCGAGGCTACGAAACTCATCTAATCGGATGAGAGGCAGTAGCTGGCATCGGTGTTGCATATGGTAGCCAGTTTTCACGATTCAGTGAAAACTTTTAACAAAGACAAACTTCTTTCTACAAACACAGACACAGTGACCCGTTCATAACCATTCCTCCAAGGAAACGTTGCGTCACATTTAACATGGACAAACTCACTCTTATACTAATTTATGGGATTGGCTACAAATATACACAGAATCATATATAATATTACTTTGGAGTGAGGTCCCTCCTGCATTTCTTCAGGATGCCCTCCTTCAAGTTAGCTTTACTTGATTTGAAGTTCTAATGAAATCGTTTCCTTTCAGAAAAGAAATATATATACATATATGACCTAATTGTTGATTTATGCGAACTTGTGTAGCGCCAATTTCTCCATTGAGTTTTAATATTAGCCGATTATCTCTTGAACTTTTATAAATAGTCAATTTTCCTTTGGTGTTCGATCTTGAAATTTTCATCTAATTTTTCAAGGGAAAACTTGATATAAGTCCAATTTTTTTAGCCAATAGTAAGAATAGTCCAATTTATTAAAGTAAGTCCAATTCCTTAAATTTAATTATTTTATTATCAATAATTATCTATTCAATGATAAGATTTATTATAAAAATCAAATTTCTTCCTAATTATCTCTTTGATTATTTCTTTTTATTTTTATTTTTTGCTTCTTGTTCTTCCTCCTCCTTTAAACCCCATTTATATATTTTATTTTTAATTTTTATAATCAACCTATATCACAGGTTAATTATTTTTATGTATCTATATGACAAATTCTTTTTTATAATCAACGTGTCACAGATTCATGTGTCTTCCTTGTAGGTATATTATGTTTTTTCCTACCTTTTTGTTAGGTTTCATATCTCACTTATAGGTATAATATATATATGCATGTATTTGTTACTTGAGTTAAGATACAATGTTTTGTAGATAATTTATGTTAGTATATTAGTTTTTTTTTCTTTTGTAAGATATTAATTAGATTTTTTGGAGTTGAAAAATGCATAATATTAGAAGATTTTAATTGATTTTTTAATATTTTTTAAAAAAATAAAATGAGTATAAAAGAAATAAAAACATGTATGACCTAATTGTTGATTTATGCGAACTTGTGTAGCGCCAATTTCTCCATTGAGTTTTAATATTAGCCAATTATCTCTTGAACATTTATAAATAGTCAATTTTCCTTTGGTGTTAGATCTTGAAATTTTCATCTAATTTTTCAAGGGAAAACTTGATATAAGTCCAATTTTTTTAGCCAATAGTAAGACCTGGTTTGGTACTGAGGTGATTCTGAAAAAAGTTGCTATCAAAACAAGCTGGGAGCTATTTTTGTGTTTGGTAAATACTCAACTTCAGCTTTTTTTCATAGTTTTGGATGAAAAAAAAGCCAAAAACAAGAAGCTGCAAAACCCAGCTTTGAAAAACCGACTTTTTTTCATATCTGTTTTACATAAAAGTTTACCAAACACTCTAATACTGCTTTTTTTCTTTTCAAAAGCACTTTTACAAAAAAGTTTACCAAACACTTTGCTGCTTTATTTCACAGCTGCTTATTCTCACAGCACAGCAGAAGCAACTTTTTTTCAAAGCACAACAATACCAAACCAGCCCTAAGAATAGTCCAATTATTAAAATAAGTCCAATTCCTTAAATTTAATTATTTTATTATCAATAATTATCTATTCAATGATAAGATTTATTATAAAAATCAAATTTTTTCCTAATTATCTCTTTGATTATTTCTTTTTATTTTTATTTTTTGTTATTTCTTGTTCTTCCTCCTGCTTTAAACCCCATTTATAGATTTTATTTTTAATTTTTATAATCAACCTATATTACAGGTTAATTATTTTTATGTATCTATATGACAAATTCTTTTTTATAATCAACGTGTCACATATTCATGTGTCTTGCTTGTAGGTATATTATGTTTTTTCCTACCTTTTAGTTAGGTTTCATATCTCACTTATAGGTATAATATATATATATATATATATATATATATGCATGTACTTGTTACTTGAGTTAAGATACAATGTTTTGTAGATAATTTATGTTAGTATATTAGTTTTTTTTCTGTTATAAGATATTAATTAGATTTTTTGGAGTTGAAAAATGCATAATATTATAAGATTTTAATTGATTTTTTAATATTTTTTTAAAAAATAAAATGAGTATAAAAGAAATAAAAACATGTAATTAGATAATTGGACTCACTCCTAAAAATCATCTATGTTTTTGGACCTAGATCTAAAAGCCCCATTTTTCAATTAGTCATGCGGATAACCTATGCCAACTATAAGGGCAAAAACGTATTCTTGTTTTGTTAAATTGGGTGCAAAGCCAATACTTTGTAACTGCTAATTAAGCTTCCATGAATAATTCAAACATAAAGTGTATGGAGTCAACTAGTGGAAGAGAAGAAGAAGAAGAAGAAGAAAATATGTTGTCCAAATGAAGGATAAAATTACTTTATTACCCTCAAACATTTGCCATATGACCAAAATAGATAGAAAATTACATGAAAATTCCAATAATTAACATCCTAGGGTAGGGAAAAATTGGCTAGAATTAAAGTTTAGGAGAAAATTAGATGCTCAACACAAATTCGGGACGGAAAATTGACAAATAGCAATATGTAGATTTATCATCTAGAATATCAAAGTGAGATTTGGCTTTTTTTTTTAAAAAAAAAGAAGGTAGTTTTTGTATTTTGTTGTGTACAGTGAAAATTTCTAAAAGATTTTGGTAGTAGTCTGATTTCATTTAGACTTCTTGTGGTGGTCTACAACTGTTCACCTGAATTATATTTGATCATTAGATAGTAATTCTATTAAATATATACTAACATTTGCCTACACACTTTGTGTGTATGAATACATTTTTTTTAGAAAATTAGGAGGAGGGGGGGTGGCGGGGGAGTGGGAGATTTTTGTTTTTGGTTTTTTATTTTTTTATTTTAAATATTGAAGGTATTTTAACATCACCTGACCTGTAGATGAGGTTTCAATAAAAAAAAAGTAAAATTTGAACCTGTGAAAGTATATTATTGTCCATCATTTTTTTTTTTGTGATAGAAGATTAAGTAGTATTTTCACCTTCTTTTGATTGACAAAGAGGGTTTTATTAATTAATAGAGATTAATAGAGATAAGTATTGTAGTCAATCTTAGAAAATTATTATTATTCATTATTATGCTACGTTATGGACGGATACTTGTTTTAGCGAAGAAGTCTAAAATACATCTAGTAGCTGCTATTAGAATCGGATTTATATCTCATTTTATCTTGTTTAATTTGTTAGCTCGAGGGCCTCATTATTAGGATTTAGGATGAATGCTTATGAATTTCATTCGTTGTTTGTTGCGTGTTTCCCAGGATAACAAAAATAAAGAAGATTTTTGATGTGCGTCAGGATCAGGGGACTTACCTTAGAATGTGGAACGCTTTATTTATGCTCTCCTGTGTATTAGTCTCTCCGGATCCTTTGTTCTGTTATGTTGTGAATTTCAAAGACGATAAAAAGTGCCTTCAAATGGACGAAAGGTTGAAAATTGTTGCTCTTGTTTTGCGATCACTCACGGATGTCATTTTCTTCGTGCATTTGATATGTGAAATTTTAGCCCTCAAAATGAGTACCTCGAAAAATGAACAGTCCGAGGCAGTGAAACAAAGGCTCCAGAGTATGTTATCCATCATAACTGACGTTTTAGCTCTTATTCCCTTCCCACAAGTAAGAGAAATTAACTAAACTCTAATTTTTTTTTTTTTTTGGGGTAGCTAGCTGAAATTGATGGTTCCATGTCCTAACCCTTGTTTATCTTTTAATTTTCTTCAGCTGGCAGTGCTAATGTTTTATGGCTCAGAATTTGTGGAAAACAAAACGCTTGTGAATGTGTTTCTTCTCGGTCAATATGTTCCGAGGGTTATTCGAATTCACCTGTCGGGCAAGGTATTCAAAAGGATGAATGGGAGATGGGCTAATTGTGTTTTCAACTTGTCTCTCTACATTTTTGCCGGTCACGTAAGTTTCAACTCAATTGTCATTATATTTGATTACTTTGTTAATTATTAATGTTGGATTATGGACCAATGCTGTTGTTTTCGAAAATGATAGTGTAGAAACATGACTCTTTAAATTAATCATGTAGAACGTTTATAATATACAGGGTTTGAGAAGACTCATATGTGGTAGGATTTCTAAATTAATTACAATTGATATTACGTTGCCTTAATTAAGGAGAAGATTCTAGACTAATTAATTATATCCTAACACCACCTCCATACCATTTAGTACTACGGTTTAGTGGTATTCTGTCTCACTTGTAAGTAAGAGGTCATAGGTTCGATTCTTTCCAAAGACGAATTTGAACCACATTGTGAGGCTTAGCCCACTTTCCCACTTCTCTTTGTGTAAATATTATCTTTTGTTCAAAGAAAAAACACAACCACCACCACGCACCACCCCCTGCAATTGGACAATCCTGATCGGACAAGTATATAAGAAATGCGAGGGGAACTCGTGTATTGAGCAACATGATTGACAACAAAAGATATATCAAGGCAAGTTCAAGTAAGATACTTTAAGGAGTCAACTAACTCACGATTAAGGTCGTCTGTGAAAATTTGAAGGTCTTGTGCGAAAATTTAAATGGGTCCTCCTTAATCTTTTAAGAAAATACTAAAGTATGTTTGAAAAAAATACTAATTTTTTGTTTTAGACATTAATCTTTTTTAACCTTTCAAACATACCTATGTTTAATCTTGTCTGTATTTTCGTTTGATTTATTCAATTCGATAGCTAAAAATAAAACTGGTGTCTAAGAAGCTAAAAATGACTTATTGAATAAGAAACCATGTTTTATTGCGAAGTTAAGCATTATTTCTTCATTCATGGCCTAACGCCATTCAGGATGCTTAGAAGCTTGAGAAAATCAAATGGGTTTACTAGAATCAATAGACGCTAAAAGAGCATGAGAAAGAGGATACCGAACAGTGATATCAATTCGAGTTTTTTGTGTTTGGAGATGCCGTCACGTAGCCGAGTGACCATGGGACGAGTGGACTGAACAACGGAGGTAGTCAGCGCAAAGCAGGCGACGGAAGGGGGCAGCAAGAGACGCTGAGACATTGTTGGTGCTGGTGGCAGACACGGCAGCATAAGAGAAAACACGCGTCTGTGTCGTGGGGCCTTAATGTTATGGACGTGGGTTGCTGAGGCGCATGAAATGTGGATTGAGCGCTGGGCTTGGCATTGAAGTGAGCGCATTGGAAACCGGCACGGGGCGAGCTGGTGCGAAAGCTAGCGTATTGATGATGACGGCTGGCGCGCTGGGCTGTTTGGGAAAGTTGGGGGCTGAACAGTGGCGGTGGGACTGGGAATTAGGAGAGGGGTCAGGCACTGGTAGGTCAGTAGGTAGAAATGGGCCAGACGTGACACATGGACTGGACCGCACAAGAGAAGTAGTGGGAGGTTGCAAGACTGGATCTGGCAGAAGTTGGGCCCTCGTTGGAGAGGCAGGAAGAAGATTTATAAGGTGGACGGTTGTGAAGGCATATTTAGCCCATTATTCGCGAGGGAGCCCTGCAGTGAAGAATCAAGACAAAAACCCTAGAAACTATGGGAGTGAGCCTGCAATAAGGGAGTAAAGGCTGCTGTGATTTGTTTTTTATTTTTATTTTTTATTGTTGGTGTGAGAAAGTCCTACAAGAAGAGAACGACCGTAAGTTTTTTTTTTATTGCCTGCAAAAAAGATGATATGGTTAGATCGCTAGACTCTGGTGGAGGAATGATACTAGGTAGAAATATAACTTCTTGATTGATTATGTATAATGTTTACAATAAATATAGGCTTTGAGAAAACCCATATGTGGTAGAAGTTCTAAATCAATCGATTACAATTGATATTACATTCGTTAATTACGAGAAAATTCTAGATTAATTAATTATACGCTAACAGGTAGACTAATATCTAGAGTTTTGTGTTTGCACGTTATGGGTTTAGGTACTCGGAGCTGTTTGGTACCTTTTTTCTATTCAACGAGCGGTATCATGTTGGTATAAGGCTTGTGTAAAATGTATTGGTAACTGCGAGGGGATTTTGTACTGCAATAATGTGAATACTGCCAGACCTCTAAACCAGATTTGCTCGGCTATTGAGAATTCTACTGCAAATGTGGCCGAATATCTAAAGGATAGTTGCCCGTTGGATACTCCAGATGGTGCTTCACCTCCATTTAACTTTGGAATATTTCTCGATTCCCTTAAAAATGAAAACCCAGATCAAGAGTTCGGACAGAAGTTTGTATACTCTTTCTGGTGGGGCTTGCGAAATCTAAGGTACATTATATATCCATTGGCAACCAACAATTTTCAAAAAAATATGTAACGAATAAATTTTTTGGGATTATCTAATTCGGCAACATTGTCTAATATTTTGCAGTAATTTTGGGACAAATCTGGTCACAAGTACGTATGTGTTGGAAAACTTGTTTGCGATTCTCATTTCAGTCATTGGCTTGCTACTGTTTATATATCTCATTGGAAACGTGGAGGTTGGTATATTAAGTCTCTCTGTACATTAACTTTTGACAATTTTTCTGTGTTTGAGAGTTGGGACTGCGGAGATCATTCTTCAAGTATATTAAGTAATTGTTTGATTTGTGGCGAGACAGGTTTTTATGCAGACGGGAGCTACACAAACATTGTACATGGGACAACAACGTAAAAAAAAAAAGGAAGCTATAAAAACACTAAAGGAAGTTATAAAAACACTTAAGAAAGTATGTTCCTCAACCTCTATCTCTCACCATTAATTTATGGAATACATTGTTTTAAAACAAAATGACATTAACATTCGATGTTTGAATTACAATAATGATAAGATTGCACTATAATCTTAAAGTTTATAGTCCATAGTTATGCAATAATGCTAAGTTAGTCAACAACACAGAATCACATTGTTATTACTAAAACTAGGTTAATGTTACATTCATTACAAAATTATTGTTCAAATTAAAGAGTACAGTAGATTAACCTGTGTATGTATACTGCAGATACCAATGGTTAAAGACATGGATGAAGAAGTGTTGAAGATGATGTGCGACTATCTAAAGCCAGCAACGTACGTTAAGAACAGCTTCGTTTTTCGAACGGGAGATCCACTCGATTGCATGCTGTTGATTATCGAAGGGACAATGTGGACCTACACGTCGAGTGATAGTCATGATGGGCAAGTAATCTCATCAATGGCCATCAAGCCCCTCAGGAAAGGTGACTTTTACGGGGAAGAGCTTCTCAATTGCGCATCAGACTTCACCCAAGTTCCAGTCTCCAGAAAACATGTCAAAAGTCATACAAAAGTAGAAGCATTTGTGCTCATGGCCGAGGACTTAGTCTCCATACTCAGACAACATGGGGACTTGCTTAATCGTAACAATCCTGAAAAGGCGCAGCGACGTCCGCCTCCGTCCCCAGCTGAAATAGGGGATGACAATAGTGAGACCCTGCCATCTGCAACAAGTAATTAGTATATTCAGAAACGTCAAAGTAGAGACGCTTTATGGCCAAGAGCTCCATACACAACCTGGCTGAGTAGATCTTGTATAAGCTCTGGCCTCAAAATAATATTATTACTGGTTGATAATTAGCCGGACGTTTCAATAATTAAGTAGTGGTAGCCACAATACCACCTCTCTCAGGGATATGTTTATGTTGGTCATGTTCTGAAACATTTGCTGTTATTAGGTTTAAGTTATTAGGCATAGAAAGGTCTAAACCTTATGTATCATGCTTGATGTTATATATGGTTAGTCGCTATTTCAATGCCGATACGGTAGTTCACTGTTCATGCAGTTTTTGAGTTTTTAACTTTTTAATGGCCTAGGGCGATAAACAAATGGGGCTATTTCCTACACATTATTTTCACAAGAAAATAAAATGCACAACTTTTTATCCCTTCTCTGCGGTTAAAACATATTAATTTGACCACAATAAATATATAAGAATCTTCTTCTAGTATTTCTAGTGTCAAAATCATGAGGCACACATCTTTAAAATCAAGCTTTTACAAATATCTTTCTCAATGAACAAGATTGTCAATCCATTTTACTTTTCATGTGTCATAGTCGATCTAAAATTATTTTTCAACAACTTTAGTTGAATCACCTATTTCTTAGTCTTTTTAGAGGAACTTATTTGAGAGGAGATTGAGAAGGAGAGAATGGAAAGGAAGAAAAAGGGGGAATGTTGTTTGGGGGAGCATTTTTGCTCACCATAATAACTATGGTGTATGCTCACCATACACCTAATCAATTGACACATGTCATTTCACCTAACTTTAGTTAACTTTCATATTAAATGTTGGTTTTTCAATTTTGAAAAAAATTAACCAAGATTAAGTGAAATGAGACATGTCAATTGATTAGATTTATGGTGAGCATATACCATAGTTTATGGTGGTGAGCAAAAATACTCCCTTTGCACAATAGTTTTGGTAAAGAGATATAATTAACTTTTTTTTTCATTCTGTCAATATACTGTTCATTTGAGCTCCTTTACCATACTTGAGTTGTATTTTTAACGCTAATATATAATATATATATACCGGGAGCTTTTTGTTAAAGCTTATTTTTTTAGGAAAACTAATGAAAATGACTTGAAAACTTTGAGTTTTAATGAAAAGGAAAAAAAATGTGGTGTAAGTGAATAGTATCAGGATTGACTTTTTAGAGTAAAAATGTGGTTTTTCGTTAAAGTAAACAGTACCTGGAACTTTTCGTTAAAACTTTTTTTTTTCTTCATATATGTATATACCAATATAAAAATAAAATAAAATAAAATTTGGGGCCCCCTTGATGTGGGCCCTAAGGCCATCTCCAACCGAAGGCTGGTCAGATGGCTCGTTTTAGCCCTCAAACCCTCCAAGAAATTAATATTTTAATGAACAGTACAGGGCCATATTTGCTTCCATCTCCAACTGAGGGCCAAAGAGCCATAGGGCTCGTTTTAGCCCTGTCAGAAAAAACCGTCTCCAACCGAGGGCTAAACATAATTTATTATTCAAATTTAATGTTATTTAATGTTGTTTCATGTTACTTAATTTAATTAAATGTTGTATAATGGCTTAGGAAGTTATAGGAAATAAAAAATAAAAATAAAAAACAATTTTAAAAAATTTTGTAAAAAAAAAAAAAGTAAAAAAATAAAAAATAAAGAACCAGCTAGCTGATGTCAGCTAGCCGTTGTATTTGAAATTTGGCCTAGCATTCCTGTCGGATATAACCGACATGAATAATTAACAATATTTTCGGTTATCCGACAGGAATACTCAACCCTCTGGCCCAGCCCGGGGCTAGCTGGATTGGGCCAACCCTTTGGCCCTTTCAGATTCAGTGGGGCCCACAAGGCCTCTGGCCTAACCCTCGGTTGGAAATGATTTTCAAGCTATTTTCGACCCTATAGCTCTCTGGACCCTTTGGTTGGAGATGGCCTAACCAGTCGACCTTCCCGCCCTTTACTCAAGAATGGCCCTGTCATTGTTCAAGAGGTGAGGGATTTTTTTTTAGTTTTTTTTTTTTTCCTGTCAAATTCAAGAGGTGAGGTTTGATTTAGTCAAAATGGGCCATGAAATTGTCATAACTCCTCATTTTGATCCTAAAGATTTGAAATCGATAGATATGGTCCCTGAACTAGTGAATTTGTCCACTATCAATCATTTTGATCATTTTCTTAAAAATCTTCATTTGGTCATTCCGTTAAAAATCTCCATTAAATAAAGGTAAATGACAAAAATACCCACATTTTTTGTCAAATTATTTTTAGCCATTATTTATCAAATTGATGGTATTTTTGTGATTTTGGTCCTTATTTAACAAAAATTTCACGAATGACCAAAATGATTGATGGTGGACAAAATGATAGACCACTTCTATTAATTTCAAATCTTATAGACCAAAATGAAGAGTTATGTAAATCCCAAGGACCATTCTAACTAAAAAGCCTAAAAAGTTTAAGAGGCCAAAAGTGGATCAACTTCTTGCAAATAATCCACTGTGGAACAAAATATTTGTAATTTCATGTGTCACACACAACCCTTTGTTCTTTTACATTCCATTCACTCGATCAAGACAAGAAGTGCCTTGGAATGTACAAAACGGTGAAGACTGCAACTCTTCTTTTGCGACTCCTCACGGATCTCATTTTCATAGTGCATATTATTCATCAAATTCGCTCGTCAGGCCATTAAATCTGTCAACTCACAGGAAATGGCAGTAGCTGGGAAGTTGTCGTGGCGCTCGATCATTACTGACATTCTTGCTGTTCTTCCCGTCGCACAAGTAAGACAATTAGAATTAAAGTTTGGTCAATTTTTAGATGTTGTTATGGAACTCCAGAAAAATGGTTATGCACTCTTCCAAGTTATTTTTCTCTCTTATATTTACACGTTTAAAGTGCAGAGTAACATTTTTAAAGCAGTAATAAAATTTTCTACCACTTATATAAAAACACATTGTATATCATCCGTATTCCTATCACAACTAAAAATTTCTTATTTTTATGGTCGAAAAGGGGAATATATTAAAATGGGTAAAATCCAGCCGAGAACAACAAAGAAGGCTAAAAAGCACCAGCCCCAGGAAGGGACTACAAACAAAGCAAGAAAAAAGACCAAACTTTGATCAAGATGTCCGAAAAGGGGTTTTAACAGGACATAATAAAAGGAAAGGGATATTCTCCGGATCTTTTTCCTCCTAATTCACCAAATCAGAGAAATCTTGCTGTTGAAATTTGATCCAACGGCTACAAACAGGGGCTTACTTTAAAAGTTATAATAACTTCAGCCGTTAGATCAAATTTCAACGGTACGAATTCCATGATTTGATGGATCAGAAGAAAGAGATCCGAAGATAATCTCTTTCCATAAGAAAATGAAACTCCATGTTGGTGGGTCACCCTGAATCCCTCAATAATTAATCAATAATGCTTTCATAGTGCATCTATACTATTTGGTTCCAGGACGTGATAAAACTGAAACTTGACAGTTGAACAAAGTTTCACAACAAATCCCCTGATGATATCAAGAACGATATCATGAATAGCATAGAGAAAGCGTTGAAAAAAATACCCAGATGCTGATGTCCACAACCCATTCCTTATTCTTTCTTGGCAAAGCAAAAGATCTATAAAACGCTTTCTTTTCATGGATGCACTTAGAAAAGTATTTTCTTCAAAACTCGATCCATCTCCATCTATTAATGCCATCCATTTTCACTGCAATGTTTTTCTGATGATATATGTCTGCGCGCTTATGTGTTATTGTATATGTAAATATGCTTAAGGATAGGGATGAAAAAGTGTTGACGTGGATATGCGACTATCAGAAGCCAGTGACGTACAGTGAGAACACCTTCGTTTTTCGAATGGGAGATCCACTCGATTGCATGTTCATTATCAAAGGGACAATGTGGACCTACGCGTCATCGAGTGACGGTCATGTTGGGCAAGGAATCTCATCGATGTCCATCAAGCCCCTCGGGAAAGGTAACTTTTACAGAGAAGAACTTTTCGATTGGGCATCAAACTGTTTCACCGAAGTTCCAGTCTCCAGCAAACATGTTAAAACTGTTAAAGTCGCACATTGGTGGTGGGAAAGAAACTAAGGGGTTTAAATATGATTACCCTATTCTAACTAATATCGTGGTATTTTATGGTAAAACTTCACACTTGATGGATTGTGTAAGTGAAAAAGTTGGGGACAACTAAATAGGGTTACACGTGACGGAAAGTGTTAAAGTCCCACATCGGTGGTGGGAAAGAAAACCAAGGGGTTTAAATATAATTACCTCATTCTAACTAATACCGAAACCTTTTATGGTAAAACCCTACAACTAAATGGGGTTACACGTGAGAGAGTGTTAAAGTCCCACATCGGTGGTGGAAAAGAAAACCAAGGGATTTAAATATAATTACCCCACTCTAACTAATACTGAAACCTTTTGTGGTAAAACCCCACACTTGACGTTAGTCGATGTGTGGATCTCCAAGTTTGAACAACTAAATGGGAAAGAAAACCAAGGGGTTTAAATATAATTACCCCACTCTAACTAATATAACTCCACAGATATCGGTGTCGTTAGAGTGAGGGTGGGCCCAACGATCTAAGAATCTAACCACTCTAACTAATACAACTCCACACATATCGGTGTCGTTAGAGTGAGGATGGGCCCAACGATCTAAGAATCCAACAAAAACTCGGACAAAAGTAGAAGCATTTGTGCTCATGTCCCAGGACTTGGAAACTGTAGTCTCCAGATGCAAACCATATTGGGAATGTAACAATCCTGAAGAGGTAGCACTTGCTACCATCCGTCGTTTCCGTACCATACACAACTCTAGCTGAGTACATTTGTATAGCTCTAGCCGCGAATCAATATTGTTTATATTTAGCCTGGGTAGCGTTTCTATGTTTATATATTGATCATGTGCAATCTAAACCTTATATATATAGAGTGCTTGATGTTAGATATGTTCTGGGAAGCAAACAACAAGAAGACATTAGCACAAGTGGTTTAAGTAATTAAGTCAATTGCAAGTGTTTTATTGATAGTTTTTGAATAAAAATAACATCTCGTACAAGCTCAACAATCCAATAATATTGGGCATTTTTCGGTTCCACATCTCGTTGGAATGGTTTCGGCATGTTAATAAATCTAAGAGTTGTTGACGGTTTCAAATTTTCCCATTAACTTATACCATTGCTTCTGCCATTTTGTTCTTACCTTATACAACCAAGTACCAACATCAACTCTATCCCATAA